ATAATTTAAAAGTAGTTTAGTATATATTTGTATTTATTTGGTTTATATATACCCAACATCCAGGCAGGTGCTTCATCAAATTTAGCTTTATTCTTTCTGCTCGCATTCAAGATAATAACACACAAATCATGCAAATTCTTCACATGAACAAAGGAGAAGGAGAGACCAGTTACGCCAAAAATTCAGTGGTTCAGGTAAGTAGGTAACCCTACATAATCAGTAATCAAATCTTTTCATGAATTTACGATGTACCTACAATTTACAACAACAAATGATCGCAGAAGAAGATAATATCAGTTGCTACTTTAATGGTGGAAGCCGCCGTTGTTAATATCTTGAGGGAGATACAGCCGGAGAGCATGGGGTTTGCGGACCTAGGATGCTCATCTGGACCCAACTCCTTGACCGTGGTCTCTCAGATGATCCATGCGGTGGATGCTACTTGCCATCAGATGGGTCGATCTTTACCTGAACTAAAGGTGTTGCTGAACGATCTCCCTGGCAATGACTTCAACCATGTGTTTGAGTTATTGCCAGAGCTTTACAGGAAACTGAAGGATGATTATGGTATTCATGAAGGCTGTTACGTTTCGGGTGTGCCTGGTTCGTTTTACGGCAGGTTGTTTCCTGTCCGGAGTCTTCACTTCGTCCATTCTTCTTCAAGCCTCCACTGGCTCTCTCAGGTTTGTTCGTAATCTAACAGTGCAAACTTTGATCATCGAGTAAGGTTTGTTACATAGAAAGAAGAATATATGTAACTAAGTAGGTCATGGTATACAAACGTACATATTCTAATAGACCAAACAGAAGTATACGATGAGAGACCAAACAGTATACGATGTCGAGAGACCAAACAGTAGTACTCAGAAATCATATGATTAGGATTTAGGGGACATTTATTATTGGACCAGTCATCCACAACGACTTTGCATGGGAACCACATATTACTATACACATAATATGATTAATACAACTCAAAATCTAGGAAAGTTCGCACTATCAATTTAATTATCGTGTATTTTTCAACTTGATTAAACTATTAAATTAATTTTATCATTCGAAAATACTATTTCCTTCGAGCTACTAATATCGGTAAAATACAAGAAAACAAAATCATATGCTAATTACACTTTATCAATTTACACTCTGCTTCCGAGTTCATTAAAGGAAAGAAAAGAAAAAAGAAAGGAAACCAAAAGAATAAAGTATTCCGTGCTCCCGAGTTCAAAAAAAAGTAAAAGAAAGTATTCATTTTAGGTGCTTCCGAGTTGAAAGGAAAAGAAAAGAAAGTAAAAAAAAAAAAAAACAACTATATTCTTTATGTTATTGAGTAAATATTAAGTTGTTACAACCCCACATCCCCACATCCATAAATTCCAACCTTTTGTAACAACAGAGTAACAACACAGACTAACCAAAAAAAAAGCAGAAGGTAGAAGTCGTAACAGAAGGCACAAGGCAGAAGGCATCATTCAGTTTGTAACAATCACCCAATAACAAAATCATAACATAAATCAAGTTTGTAACAAACAGAAGGCAGAAGCCGATCAGGTAGAATAGATGACAGAAGAATAACAAAAAAAAAAAAAAAGAAGAAGAAATTGCAAACCAGTTTGTAGTTTGTAACAGAGAAGAATACGATCAATAAGGTAGAATAGAAGAAAAGAACGTATCCTTTTATTATTAGGATAAAGGGTATTTTCGTCATAATCCAACATTTTATCTTCTAGACGTTTCTTTCTCTCCAATTCCAACCATTTTGGGAGGAAAGTTTGGAACGACACAAATCCTCTCAAATATGTTCTCTTCTTCTCTTCTCTTCTAAAAAAAAAAACAAGAGAGCAACCAAACTTCTCTGTTTTCCTTCCAAATCCTCTCACTTCCATTCTCTTCTTTCGTTAAGTGATACTCAGGAGCGGGTGTTAATGGCTAAACTCTATTACTAAATTAATAAATATACTTAAACAAAACGATAATTATACTAGCTAGAATTCTCATTATTATTGTTAGGTGATGTTTCTTTTTATAAAAAAACATCTTCAGGCCTCTTATTGGTGGGCGGTGCAACACACGCATAACACTTTTAATCTCGCAGTTGTTTGTTTTTTAGAAGTATTCAGAGTAAAAAACATATGTGCATGTTCTGTTTGACGCAATACTTGTATTGTCTCTTCCACTCTCTTCCAACCATTTCTTCTTTCTTTTTTCTTACTGAAATGTTGATTATATGTTGCTAAAATTTTATTTTACTTTTTTTTTTGTTTATTATTGTTGAATTCTTTTTTTTATGATTTTTTATATTGAATAATGATAATTTCTTGATGAAATATAATTATTTTTCATTAAACTATATTTTTTTTATTGAAATATCATTACTTTTTGCTGAAAAATCAATGTCATACATTATTAATTTTTTTGTATTAAAAAACTATTTCGATTTATAAAATCAGTTTATTTTATTTTTTTTAATATCTGCAACAACATGCAAATGTTAAAAAAACAAACACACTTCTTATTAAAATCTGCAGTCATTTAATACACCTCTTTTATTGTAAAGTGTTGCAAAAGTGATCCGCAGACTTTATGAATTTTTGTTTCAAAAAAACAAACAACTTAGTGTTGTTATAATTATAGTTATAATAACTATTCTTATTTTTTATTTGTTATTACTATCATAGCTATAAGTATTATTATGATTATTAATATCATAGTTTTTTAGTTTTTCTTAAGAAAAAGTTAAATGGGGTAAAAGGATAAAATGATAAATGTTTCTTTTTTATATTTTTAAGTTTAAATTATCGGATAATAGAGAAAAATAACAGTTTCTTTAAAAGTAATTAGAAATACTTTATTACTTTAACGTGAATTAAAAAAAAATTAAAAAAAAAAAAAAAAAAAAAAAAAAAAAAAAAAAAAAAAAACCTTCATTAGTAAAATACAGAAACCTATGATGTAGTGATGTTCTTGATTTTGTCCATTAATTAGATTGGTAATATATGTAAAGATTCCGAAATTAATTTGATTAGGTACCATTAAGTTTAGGAGCCGGTGCTGGAACCCATTTGAATAAAGAGAAGATATACATATCCAAGAGTAGCTCCACGAGTGTAATAGAAGCATACCAACAACAGTTTCATGAAGATTTCTCGTTGTTTTTGAGATCGCGTGCCAAAGAAATGATTATCAAGGGACGAATGGTTTTGTCATTCATGGGTCGGATGTCTCTTGACCCTTTTGCAGACGAGGCTTGCTACCAATGGGAACTTCTAGCTCGAGCTTTAATGAGCTTAGCCTCCCATGTATGTACATTTCTCCCTCTTAAATACACTACTAAAAATTGATGCATCAACCACATGTTCAATTTGTTGCAAAATTGGATCATTAGCAACAGATTAACACATGATTTTATTGAAAGAATTGCAACGGAATTAGATATACGTTGTTAATTTTCTGTCAATCAATCCCTAATTCCTATTTCAGTCTGTATCTAATGCCAAGACTTCTAGTAGTGACATGCATGCACACCAGGATCTTCGGCTTTTATGTTATACTAAAGAGTTACTATGTGTATATATTGTTGTAGGGACTTGTTGAAAAGGAGATGATAGATTCCTTCAATGCTCCTTACTATGCACCTAGCCCGAAAGAAGTGGAAAGTGAGGTCGACAAAGAAGGATCATTTGTGATGTGTGATGTTAAAGCGTTTGAGATAGAATGGGATGTTAGTGATTCGAGAACCCTTAAGGAGTCAACTGGCCATCGAGTGGCTAAGACTATTCGAGCAGTAGTGGAGCCAATGTTGGAAAGTCATTTCCATCTTGGGACCGACATGATGGATGATCTGTTTCGAAGATATGCTACAATCATCGATGATTGCCGTTCGGAAAGAAAATTCAAGTATACTAATTTGGTTGTTTCTTTCATAAAAAAAGGTTGATCACAATGTGTTCCTCTTTTTGTCTTGGAATTGAAGGAACTTTTTTTTCTTTAAAAACAAGAAATAAATTTACAGACCACCAATAATTAAATTAAATAATACAACAGCATCATAATTCATAACTTACCAAAAAGTCTTCTTCATTATTTTGTTGTAGACTCGGGACCACAATCTGACAACAGTTTCGAATATCATGTTTTCAAAATTAACTTAATAAATGGAATAAGAAAATGTATCAAAAATTGTACAATAAAGTTTGCAACATGTAGGTGGATCGTTCAGTCTCATGAGTCCTTCACATCATCTATTTTTCTCGTGTTAAATGTTGGTTATCTATTTGTTCATATTCAATACAACAAAAAATTCAATTTCGCTATAGAAAAATTTCATACTAAAAATTTGAAATTCTATAGCTAAACCTAAATAAATATGGAATCTACTACGAAGTTTGTCAATCAAATTTCGTACATAATTATAGTTCCATATCAACTTTAATATGATGTTTATATCGTTGTGTGCAAATCAAGTTTCATTGCATTTCTTTTGCAAGTTCTGGAACAACTTTTCCATAACAACTTTTTCGTAGCAATGGGTTCCATAACAACGAGTTCATTGAAAATTCCATAGCAATAAATTATGTATCAATGGTTTTCGTATAAAAGTTTATAACAATATGTTTTGTAGCAATATTCAATAAATTCAAATTATTCATTATACTACTTGTAGCAATGAATACAACTATTAATATAAATTCAAAAGTTACAACGGTTTTTATTAGAAACGTAAAGAACTACCCAATACACCAAAAACTTAACGTAGTTCAAAATCAAAAGTAGTTTGGACCAAAGTACTCAAGGCTATAATAAATAAAAATAACAATATACAATTTAATTCTCCATTGCATAACCATACTTATAGCTACAAAAATATCCTAGCACAGCGTAGAAAGCACCAAAGATGTTCTAGGCCCTAAGCAAAAACAAAAAGAAATTAATGCCCTCAAATTAATAACAACTTTGAGATAAATGGTATAATAATCAAGCAATGCAGAGAGTCTCATTTTAATTGTATGTATGTGGTGGGATGTCAAGTCCATCAAACAAATTACACAATTTGTTTCCAAATAAAACATAATATAATAGTAAAATGATGTATCCATCATCGGGAAAATGGTTGTATTCAATCACCAATGCAATCTAAAAGAACTAATGTAAATAAACTAACTACAATTAAACTAAAAAAATGAGGGGGGGGGGGGGGGGATGTTAAGATTGCTTGAAAACTAAAAGACTTGAATAATTAAAAAGCTTGCAATTAAGCAAGATGGTAAGATACTAAAATATTGGAGAGATTTGGTTAACCAAGATAATTCAACACAATGAACATTTGTGTGTTTACCATTAGGATTCAATATGAAGTTTATCATTCATACCAAATTGGTTATAGCAATCATGAAGCATGATATGCCAAGATTCCTCATAAGTTGTATGGAGGTTGGGGAAAAGTAACACCCTATTTTGAAAAGTAATCAGTTGTGGTTTCAGAGGTCCAGAGTATAAGTGGTTCGGTATTTTATGGGTCATAGGTTTTTATCCGGAAGGTTTTAGGCTTGGGGTGTGGCTAGGAGCGTAGGGCTTTCCACCACCTTTTCGTGGATATAAAGTTCGTCGGAAATGGACTTAGAATGAATAAGATATAGTAGTTTGAAGTTATTGGCATTATTGGTCCTTAATGGAGAAAGATGGCAAGAAAGGGTCATGCATGCAAGGTGGTAAACACGTGGGTACGCCCAACGTAATCTAGTTTACACCTAGCGTATAAAAGTAAATGGTCGCGGGAGCCTTAGGCGTACGCCCAGTGTACGTCTAGAGTCCAGAAACCCTAAATTTTAGGGTATGCCACTATAAAAAGGAATAATAAGCCTCAAGGGTCAACCTCTATTTCACCCTTGGACAACCACCACGGAACCCTAATCCTCCCTTGAGTGTTCTTGAAGCTTTGGTGGTCATTAGTGAGTATTTTGGTGTTGTAAAACCATCTTCCAAGAAAGAAAGGAGCAAAGCAAGGTGGTAGATCAAAGAAGTTGTAGATTTGGGACTTTTGCCTCTTTCCAGACCCTTTCAAGGTATAAAGTTCTGAGCTTGATGATTGTTTTCTTAGATCTCTTTTAGGAGGAGTTTATGGACTCTATTAGTCCAAAGATGGATCTTTTGATGAAAACTCGTGTTTTAGCTTAGGGTTGCCACCCTTAGAGCTAAAAGGGTCCCATAAGCAGTAAAGTCTCCATCTTGAATGTCTTAATGGGTTCATGCATGAGATCTAGCCATTTCTATGGAAGTATGTTGTTACATATCAAATTTGGGCTCTTTGGTGGGTTGCAAGCCACCAACTAGTTGACTTTATGGAGTAAGACATTAGTGAGGACTTGGATATGTGATTGTAGCTTCTGGAGTTGAGTATTAAGCACTTAATGGAAAGTGACTTAATATGGAATTACATTGAGCATACGTACAGGTACGCCCAACGTACGTAACATTTAGCTTGTACGCTTAGCATACATAGGGGTACGCCCAATGTACTCATCAGACTGGGTTGGACGAGTTTTGGGCCTCGGTTTGGACCATGTAGTGGATTTTGGGTCTGTGAACCTTATTAGGCCATCAGGAGTTAGTTAATATCTGCCAAGTATATGCTTTGGGCTTAGGGTAAGGCCTATTAGAGGAATTAGGCTCAATTTAGCAAATTAGGACATTAGTGGGCCACTAGTGGGCTTAGGAAGCCCATTTAGTGTTAGGCCTTTTTATATTATCATTATAAGCCTTAGTTGGACCAAGTTGGGTTAGGGGTAAAATGGTTATTTACCCTAAGGCGAATTATTATTTTGGACTAAGTAATATATTTGGCATTGATAGCTCGAGGAGTTGAGAGATCAGCAGTGCGGGGATCTGCTCGCTAGCAGCAAGGGGTTATTTGTAGGATTTTGCAGTCATCCTTGCAAGGTGAGGTATCTCCAGTAGAAACGGGTCTAAGGCACCAATGACGGACCTTTTATGTATGTTAGTGAATACCGGATTTAGATCTGATGTCGGGCGAGGCCCGAGGAAGGCTTATATGTATGTTTCCGAGCTACGGTTTGATGTCGGGTGGTACTCGAGGCAGTGGTGTATGTGTAGTTATACTTGTTCTCTTGTGATACTTTTATGTGCCTGGTAGGGGGATGAGCGTAGGCGGGGGCCCATATCTCAATACAAGCTGAGTGTGGATGGGGTTCCATATCTCATTAGTAGCAAAATAGGGGCAGGGCCCAAGATAGGCGGGGCCTTGAGGTTATTATGTTAGTATATTATTTGATCATATGTGTATCAGGGGCGAGGCCCAGAGACAGGCGGGGCCTAAGAGAAACAAATATGTATACCGAGTTAGGCTCGATACCAGGCGGGGCCTGATGTCGGGCAAGGCCCGATGCAACGAGTGGGGACCCAATATGTGGTTATGTGTATGCGGTTATACGCATGTCGTATGTGGTAGGTTGGGGAACTCACTAAGCTTCGTGCTTATGGTTTTCAGTTTTGGTTTCATGTACTTCCGGTAGCGGAGGGAAGAGCTCGGGATGATCGCATAGCACACTCCAAAAAGTTTTAGTCTAGGGTGGTTTTACTCTTATAATTAGAACATGTTCTGAAACGATACTCTAATTTGATATATCTATCTTTCATTATGGTTGTAATGATTCGATACTTATGGTTTTATTAATGCTTTAAAAAGAAATTTTTGGTCATGATTTTTGGGATGTTACAAGTTAGTATCAGAGCCTTCGTTTGGAGGTATTCGAGCATACTCTCGAGTGTGACTGAACTCAAACTAAGGGCATGGTATGAAAATTTTCTAAAGAAAATCATTTTTATAAAACGCGTTCTGAGAAAATGAAAAGAGTTATAAAAGAGAAAAGGGTGTGGTGCATTCAGTCAATTGAGCTCAAGTAAGTTCTCCCAAATTACCCATACAAGTTTATGTTATGGTATGATTATGAGAACTGCATGCAATATTAGGACTAAGGATCTAGGAAGATGCCTTATGTGCCTGTTATATGTGTATGAGCTTTATGTGTTGCATGCTAGTACAAATTCTTGAGTAGAGGATAAAACAGTATGATTGGATTATGTGGTTAGACTTTCCCTTTTCTCTGAATGCTACTTGCTTTGTGCATTGCGTGGCTCTAAGTGATGGGACTTAGCCATTAGGTGAATACATCAAGTCACATGTGATTAGGGTTGAATAATCTCAGAGTGTTGGATTTGGCCCTATTGTGCAACTCACGTTTGAGTCTAACCATCGTAGGGACGAGTCCTTTACTAGAAAGATTATTTGAGCCTCATCACATGTGATGGTATTCAGGTAGTGGCTAATTGGCATTATAAAGATACCTTCGGTAGCTGAGGATTGGGTGTAGGTTGGAGGTTACCCTAGGGCAAGCCTAGGATGAGAGTAGTGTTGGGAGCAATAGTAGTAGTGAAAGGTACTTGGTGGAGTCGAGGCAATTCTCGAGGAAAGTATGGATAGATGTGGAAGGTAGTAGGGGCCCACCATCCGTAATCGATTTGAGAAGGGCTAAGATAAAACCGGGGAACTTGTAGTGAGTAGGTGATCCCTCAGTAGTGATGAATATTCTAATGATAGTTATGTTATGTTGTAGAATGGTGGCATTGCATGAGAGACCAGTAGGCGGTTAAGGCGTTGGCGAGGGATTAGGCTTGGGTTCAGGAACCGAGTAGCTCGGGGAGCAGATGAGAGAGTTTATATCAACTGATATTACATACAGTATTCTAGATCAAACTCCTGTGATGTTTGGTTTGGTCAAGGAGGGTATACTGAAGATTTTGGATGAGAGGCTGGGAGCCTTCCACGCTGAGATGGTGGCCATGATGGGGGCGCATACGCTGACATTTTGAGAGTTAAGAGCTTGTGGAGCTCTGGATTACCATGGGGCCAGGGACCCCATCGCTAGCAGGTGGTTGGGCGATGTTGCCAACGCTTTCCGTACGAGCCGGTGTCCCGAGGGGGACAAGGTTCGAC